AATTGTTCGTTATCATTCTGGTGTCTGGAATAAAGCACAATTAAATTATAGTACTATTACAAAAGAAATTTTATCTACTGTTTTATGTATTACTAAATTTCAAGATGATATTTTGAATCAAAAGTTTTTACTTCGTGTTGATTGCAAATCTGTTAAATATGTTTTGGAAAAAGATGTTCAAAATCTTGCTAGTAAGCAAATTTTTGCTCGTTGGCAATCTATTTGAAGTATTTTTTATTTTGATATAGCCTACATACCTGGTTGTCAAAATTCCATTCCTGATTTTCTTACCCGGGATTATTTACAGGGGGGTATGTGATGAGTGCTACTCCGCATATTCCCTACCTTAAATCACAAATTACCCATTACAAAACCCTGATACACCATGTTAATTACCGTATTGCTCGCCTCAAATTCGCCAAAAAAACTACTAAACGTGCTCAGTATATCAATTACCACCAGATTCAAGCTCGTCGCCATTTACTTGCTGATTACATTAACTGTTTAAATTACTACCATAATTATTTAGATCTTCTTTCTAGTTGTTAATCTTTGCTGCTAATCTTGTTTTAATTCTCCAGATGTCTCGCCCAAGGCCTCATTTGAAGGCTTTGGTCCCATCTTCTGATAAACCTCCATTTATTCCTCCTTTGGAATTAGTAACCCAGTACCATCCAATTGAAATGATTAACCGATACCAAGTTCTTGGTAACATTCCAAGACCTAATTACTCTTCTGCTTTGGCTACTGATCCTTTTACTTCTCCCAGCCAAGCAATTTTCGTTACTCCATTTCCTGCTAACCCAATCTGATCTGCCCGTTCTGATTATGTTAAAACCACTACCACTAATCTCTTTTTCAAAGAGCCTAGTCACCCCAAGAGTCAAACTGTTTCTGATCTTGCTAAATCATTATTTGGCCCTGGATGGCATTTTGTCCCCATGCATCCAGAAAAATCAATCACCTTCTATAAAGACATTTTCTTCAATCATCAATCAATCTTGATCAAACCTATCTATGATCGAACCTATGCTAGTAAGGTTCCGTATCATTCTTGTTATATTCACAATATTGTTTCCTTAGCTGAGTGGGGTTCTTCTTCTCAGTTTCGTGATTTACCTGGTCATTCTATTCAATACAATTACCATGATTATAAGGCCAAGTTTGGGAAGACTAAATAAGTGCACTTTTTGTCTTTTTGGACTAAAAAATTGAGATTGAAAATATGGATGTTTGGGTTAACTTTTTGACTTTTTATGGAAAAATGTGTAATAAAAAATTGTAAAAATTGGTTTGTAGAGGAAAATTTGAATTGGGAGTTGTGTAGCCGTAATTGTTGACTTTTGGTGAATAGTGTCAACTTTTTAACTTTTTGAGTAACTTTTTGACTTTTTGACTTATTTGGGACTTCCCAAACTTAGCCTTAATAATTTAAGAATAAAATAATAATTAATAATAATTAAATGGTAAAAAAATTTATGAATAAAATAATAGTTAATAATAATTAAATGGTAAAAAATGAAATTAATTATGCTCATGTGATTATTTGGTGGTTTAAAAACAATCTTTCACACACCAATTATCACTTCACATGTGTCAAGTTCTCTCCCAAAAACTTAACAAAAATACTACAATTTCACCAACAAATACCAAATTGGGTGGCAAATGAATTTACCCTAGTAGCACCAAATAATATTCCCAACAAGTCCCAATAAAACAGCTTACCATTCTTCCTCTTGTTCCCTGTTCTGTCATGCCTCTGTGGTCGCAGAGCTCCTTTCTCTCTCCTCTTCCTCTGTAAATATACCTATATATGCACCCCATGTATACATTTCCATCAAACCTTTTCTTTTCTCTCTCTAAAAGAGAAACAATGAAGAACAGAAACAGTGGGAAAGTCTCTGTAAAGTGGATTCCTGTTCTCTCCCTCTTTTCCTTTTTCATCGGTATGCTCATCACAAACAGGTCTCTCTCTCTCTCTGTCTCTCTCTCTCTCTCAACTTCTTCTCTAAATTTTGAAGCAATAGGGTTTTGAATTTCGATGATTACATGTTAAATGTAGATGAAGAAGAAAAAAAAAAAAAACTGAAGAAGCTATAAAGATTTGAAATTTGAAATGTAAAGGCTGTGACAAAGTGTTGTAGGCATTTATGTAATAGAATAGTTAGAACAGATGTAGTATACGTATGTTATGCATTTCATGGTTGTTTTGGTGAGATTGAGATTAGTTAGTAGTAGTAGTATTTGGTAGCTGATGTGAATGTGATTTGGGTTTTTCATAGATTGTGGGCTCCATTGGAATCTAATGGTCCAGTGATATCGACGCGTCGACATGATCAAGAAGAGTTGCAGATCATATCTGAAGACTGCAAGACTGAGAAGGTCTGTGTGTGTGTGTTAGACACTGAATTTTTATATATACATTGAATTTATTTGAGTTGTTTTGGTCTATGCTATGTTGAATCATTTCCCAAAAGCACATAAAAACACAAATGTATAATATTGAATTATTAATATTTTTCTAAATTCAATCTGACAGAAGCCTGGACTAGATGGGAATGTAATGGAGGAGGTTTTCAAAACCCAGAAAGCAATTCAGTGAGTTTCGACTCCTCATTTTCAAAATTCACTGTTTATATGTATGTTATTAATTGAAGTTGGTGTTAGTAATTTGCGTTGTTATGCTAATTTAATTTTTTGGGTGGTCTGATAGAGCACTAGACAAGTCAATTTCAGTGCTCGAAATGGAATTGGCTGCTGCGCGAAGTTCTCAGGAGATGGGTAGGTCTAATGGGTCCGATGCCATCTCTACCCCATCTCACGAGGGCTTGCCAAGAAAGAAGGCATTCGTAGTTATTGGGATAAATACTGCTTTTAGCAGTAGAAAGAGGCGTGATTCTGTTAGGCGGACTTGGATGCCTCAAGGTAATAAATAATAATGTCCTTCCTCAGATGTTAATTTTATGGCTTTGTTTGGTCTTGAATTTTCCTGACTGGATTTTTGGGTTTGAGTAGGGGAGAAGCTTCTTCAATTGGAACAAGAGAAGGGAATTATCATCCGGTTCATGATTGGCCATAGGTAAATCACAAGTCTTCATCTTTTCGCAAATAATATTGTTTGAAAACAATAGAAATTCTTGGGCAAAATAATATGTTTTTTTGAAGTTGGATCCTTTGCTTTTGCCTGTGTGGATTTATGAAAAGTCAACTACTTGAGGGACCAGATACAACTAATATGATTGTGGAAAGATGATGGTGAGGTGATCGATGGTAGGCCAGTATAGTTGGAGATCACCGAAGGCAGCCTTAGACAGAGAGAGGGAGGCAGTCGTGTGGGAGAGAGTACTTGAGCTTGCCAAAGGGATGAGGCTTGCTTGTGTCCATGCAAGGGTATAATCACCTTTATTGGAGGGTTGAGCCATGGAGGACAGTTCACCCTATACAAGTTGTTCTCCTTCGGTTGACAATCTGTAGGTTCCCACCACTCACTGCCATGCTCAGATATTGGGGTATGTATCAGGGGATGACAGTGGGTACGTATGATAAACATGAGAGATCATATCCTAAGATCTGCTGGGGTAGGTATGATATGTTGTCCAACATATCACATATCTCTGTCAAAACCTATCTCTCTATAAGTTTAGTCAAAGTGATTTGGGGGACGAGCTAAGTAGCCATGACGATCCATTGACTCTATCATTCAAACCACAATCCTCTAGTGTTCCCAAATGAACATCCTAGGCTGTGCTCCTAGCCTAGGTGACAAAGTAACAAAACAATTGACCTCTTCTTGGTAAGTTGTTCATTGCTGGCGATAGGGAAGGATGAGCAGACCTCTTGCGGCTGCTCATCAAGGTGATAGAGGTGGGTGAGCTCCCCTTGGTGGCTAGGCCTCATACTTTGGTCTTTGTGGCATGATGTGATTGGGTCACATGCCACATTTTGAGGTCGACTCGTGGTTTTTTGAAATGTAGACGTGGGGATGATGTGGCCTTGCCACGTGGCGGAGGTGGAATAGAATCTTAAGAAATATCTATATTTTATATTATTTTGGTCCTATTGCGTGAGAAATGTTGTGTGGTCCATATGCCACATTTTGAAGTTCGAGAAATATTGTGTGAGCTCTATTCATTTTACTGCTGAATCGACAATATCTGTAGTATTGTTTTGAGAAATAGAAGTGTTTAAAATTTTGTTGGGTAATTTTAGAAAAAGCGGGTCCTTACTCAAAATATATTTGCATTATATAAGGACCTGTGTGCATATGAATGACAGGTATGCTGAATGATGAATGTTTTGATTGGTTCAGTGCAACACTTAACAGCATATTAGATCGAGCTATTGATTCAGAAGATGATCAGCATAAGGACTTCCTCAGGCTGGTAACGATGCACATATGAAATTGCTGCTTGTATATGCTACAGTGCTTTCGATATTTCACTGTGATTTTTTCTCAACCTTTGTTCTCATGTTATCTTGCAGGAACACATCGAAGGGTACCATGAATTGCCTGCAAAAACCAAAATTTTCTTCTCCACAGCAGTTGCGAAATGGGATGCTGATTTCTATGTCAAAGTGGATGACGATGTCCATGTCAATTTGGGTATACACTGCCTCTTTGCATTTTCTTTTCTATATGTTTTCCCTTCCTTATTTCACTTTTCCATCCATTAGTGAAAATTTGGGGCCTTTAACCATTGTTCGATTTTGTTTTTTGGGTTCAAAGTTGACAAATAGTGTACAAACTAGGGGTGCAACTCGGGCAGGTTCGGTCAGATTGGGAGGTTGTTCAAGCCCAACCCAAATTGTGGTAAGACATGTCCAAACCCGAATTGTAACCCAAAGTTGTCTGCCCAAGCCCGACCTGAGTTAAACCTGAATTGTCTGAGTTGCTTGAATTGCAAATGAATTTTAGTTTTTTTTTTTTTTTTGCAGCTACATTATTAAATTATTAAAATTTGACTCTATTTACATTTTTTTATTATAGAAAATCATTAATACCATCAAAACAAATAATTTATATAATGTAAGAGATGCCGCTATAGTAGTCTTTACAATTTATGAGTGAAAATAGAAAAAGTAAGATTTTATATTATTTGTATATATAATAATATATATTCAATATGATTTAATAATCTAAATTACTTTAATATCATGTAATGACTAATAATTTATATGTATATTTAATATTTTTATATATCTATATATGTATAATTTGGGTTGTTCGGGTTGTTTGACGTCTTTGCCCAAGCCTGTCTAAATTTAATTCGGGTTTCTGAATTTTTGTCCAAGTCCGTACCAAATTTGAAAATATCTTGTCTAAGCCCTAAAAAAATTCGGGTTGGGTTCAGGTTGTTCGGGTTGAGCCTGCCCAAGTTGCACCCCTTGTACAAATACAATTCATCATGTTTTTATATATAAAAGTATGATTGCTGATTTCTATGTTAAAGTGGATGACGATGTCCATGTCAATTTGGGTATACACTGCATCTTTGCATTTTCTTTTCTATATGTTTTCCCTTCCTTACTTCACTTTTCCATCCATTAGTGAAAATTTGGGGCCTTTAACGATTGTTCGATTTTGTTTTTTGGGTTCAAAGTTGACAAATAATGTACAAACACAATTCATTATGTTTTTTACATATAAAAGTATGATTGCTAACCATATTTTTTACTTAACACATAACACTATCTGAACTACTGTTTTTCCTTGAGTGTTTACATTCAACTTTCAAGTAGCAATAACGCATTTCAAGAAAAAACGTGTTTGTCAACCATGTTTTACCTTAGTTTCGGAATAAGTTTGTCCATACACTATTTGCTTAAGTTTGAGTTTTTTAAAATAAAAAAAAAAGCATAAATGGGTTAAAGAGCAGAAAATTTGGCAATCACTAAGTCAATTTTGTCACATGTTTGACTTCTGTAGGCATGCTGGCTGCAACTCTTGCTCGTCACCGATCGAAGTCCAGAGTATACATCGGGTGTATGAAATCTGGACCTGTTCTTTCTCAAAAGTAATCCTACAACCTTAATATTGATTAGTCGTGTTCCAGCAGTAGTGTTTTTGTTAAAATTGATGTATTATTGATTGATATTTTGATATTTATTACAATGATTCATGATTCCTATATATAGAAGAGGGTGAGTGTGTAGTAGGTGAGGAGTAGGTGAGGAGTAGGTGGAGAGTAGGTGAAGTAGGTGAGTGTGTAGTAGGTGGTAGTGGTAGGTGTGTAGTAGGTGAATTTTTAACAGTTTTTATATGTATATATATTTATAAAATTTTACCCCTTCTGTACTGTTCTCTAGGACCGTTAAGTACCATGAACCAGAGTACTGGAAATTTGGAGAGGTAGGCAACAAATACTTCAGACACGCGACTGGGCAGATTTATGCTATCTCAAAGGATTTGGCAACTTACATCTCAATTAATCAGTAAGGATCTGTTTGGTAATGTTTATTCAGTTTGTTTTCTGTCAAATCTCATTTACTTTATCCTGAAAGTGTTTTGAGCTCGTGGGCATTTTCTTATATGGTGAGACAAATATTACGTTTTGTGTGCCTGCATCAACAACAATTTTTGACTTTCAGATTGTGATATTAGTGAAAATGGATATGAATTTATTAAAATAAATACATAAATAAATGCATAAAGTTAGTCAGAATTTTGACATTTTAGAACTACCAAAATTAACTGATTGCTGATATGGCTAAGAATATTTGGTAATTTAAATTGGACAATCTTCTCACACCATATAATCTTCTTGGTTCTTAGACACGGCTAAAACTCTTGTTGATTGTTTGCAGGCCCATACTGCACAAGTATGCCAATGAAGACGTGTCGCTTGGTTCATGGTTTATTGGTCTTGATGTTGAGCACATTGATGAGCGCAGTATGTGCTGTGGGACTCCACCAGGTACTACTGTCTTTTTATAGTATTCAACTCAATGGTGTCTTGAAAGGTCTAGTCCCCAAAAACAAAACAAATGGAAGAACAGTCACCCTTGGTCAGGGTATAACTGATTTGGTGCTTGTTCAGTCTCAAAGTTCATTGAGAGATTGTTGTTAAACCAAAATGATTTGGTTCTAAGTGAATGTAAACAAATGACAAGTATATGAAATACCTTAAGTATAAACAATAACCCACAAGCCCAAATCACTGATTGGATTATGAGCCTCCAATGAATATATAACGGTACATTCAAATCAACGGGTTGGCTACCAGAGTTATCCCATGACTTACACGAGGCATTGGTGATGATGGCAGTCTTAGGGAGATTGAATCACAAAGAGAGGATTACTCTTCTACATATACAGGATACGGGTTGTAGTATAGTTGTCTACAACCATTTTATCTCATACAAAATATATCCCATCATTTTAAATACATAGGTCTATCAAATAACTCATGTGGATGCTCCATGGGTTATAGTTCGGATCAGATCTGATACAAATTTCAACAAAAATAGTGTTATGAACTTCTCAAGTAAGTTATTCAAAAAAAATTCCGACATCAATAGAACTGCAGATATCAGGCAGTCCAGTATCATTATCCAATTACTGTGTTGAATGTTTTTTGTTTAGAATCACTTTCTTTTTTTTTGTTGGTATATTGCTTACTTTAAGTGCAGTTTCTCTCGTTAACTTCTATTCATATTACTGCCACATTGCAGATTGTGAGTGGAAGGCACAGGCAGGTAATGTATGCATTGCGTCGTTTGATTGGAGCTGTAGCGGAATATGCAAATCGGTGGAGAAAATGAAATTCGTTCACGAAAGGTGTGGTGAAGGGGAGGCCGCTGTCTGGAGTCCTCTGTTCTAAAGTAATTCCGACAAGAGGGTGATGTTTTGGCAAACTGGGAGGACTGAAACCATTTTTTCATTCAGCTACCCGGAATCTGAGAGAGTTGAGATAGTTCAAGTTCATACATATTTGCCATGACAATGCCTTTCTATGCATAACCATCGAGTTTCAAAGCAAATTTTGGTCCATGAGACACAGAATTGTCTCACAAAAACAATCAATGTGAGAGAAGTTGGGAGGCCCTTCTTTCTTTCTTTTTTCTTTTGTTGGTATCTCCCTTATACAATAATTCTTTCAAATTGGCTGGGAATTGTGAAAATGTAATTATTCCAAATATGCACAGTGATTGTTTTGTGTCATACAGAAGTTGCCTGAACTGTTTTAGATTGTGTTTGGTTTAATTTTTAAATTAATTTTGGATTGAAAAATTAAAAAATATGTTTGGTTTACCGCTTTTGAAAATTATTTTCAAAATTGTTTTTTCTCTCTCCTCTTTCCTCTTTCCTCTTTCATTCTACACATTAATCAATTAATTTTTTTTCACATCTATTTATTTAATTACAAAAAAAAAATAGAAATCATTTTAAAATTATTTTCATGACTCATAACCAAATAAGTTTTCAATTTTTAAAACATTTTTTAGATAGAATAAATTACAAATACACCTCATGAGATTTGCTTAAAGTACAGATTGTCTCCTGTAATTTGAAAAATTACAAATATCTCTTTGTTAGTATTTTTTATTTAATAGAATTAACTAAAAAAATAAAATTCATAATTGCTCTCCTATACAATAATAAAATTACCTAAATTATTAATTGAAACATATTTATAACATCATTAAAAATTGTTAATTGACTTGATGATTTATTAATAGAATGGGCGATTTGTTATGAAATTAGAAACTTCTAGTGGTGGAATGTAATTTCTAAAACCACAGGGGGCGAGTCGTATTTTAATCAAATTTCAAGGGATGTATTTGTAATTTACCTTTTTAAATACTTATCTTTTAAAATACAATTCAAAACTCAAAACTCTTTTTAATGATGTTTTATTTTTCATATTATTTTTGTTGAAAAATATCTCCAGTCTTGTGCTTCAAATTTGATTGATCGATATATATTGAAACTTTTTCTTTTTGTTGTTGTTGCTTATGTTGAAGGAATATACATATTGAACTTATTTCATGCCTCATGTGGCATTACGCAAGCCAATTTAAGTCATTCATTTGTGTGAACTTATGTAAATCCCACACAAATGAATGACTTGAATTGATTTATAACATTGCCATGACAATGCCTTTAGGACAATAAATAATTATTGCAAAACCACAGTTTGGAAAATAACTTTAAAAAATGCAAATTTCTTCTGATATTTACTAGTTTATGAAAAGTAAGAGTTAAAAGTACGTTTGGTACAATAGAATGGACTAAATGAAATATCTATTCTAACTTTATATTTTTTTCTCCTTGTTTGGTATAACTTATCTGAGGGGAAATAGGCATTCCATTAGAATGGCTATTCAACAAAATGTGGGAAGACTTCCTATTCCTTCCTCTACCTTAAGGAATGGTCATTCCATTCCATCATGGAATTTTATTATTATATTTTTTATTGGCACTTAAAAAAATATTATTATTTAGTTACTACCACCATTCCATTCAACCATCATCTGCTCCACCACCCTACTACCACCGTCCCCACCTTATTGCCACCACTACCACCACCACCGCCCCCACTACGGTTGCCGCCACAACCACCACACCACCATACTACCGATGTCACCATTACCGCCACAACCACAACCACTACCATTACATCCACAACCATAAAACCACCACTATTACCATCGTTAGAACCACTACTCTACTACCACCACTCCCACAACCACCACAGCCTCTACCGCCACAACTGTTGGACAATCTTCACTGTATTTAAAAAGATTTAATTTTGTTGTGTACAAAACAACAACAAGAATAAAAGAAATAGAGAAAATGAGAGAATATGTTTGATTACAAAAATCAAACTCGAAATAAAATAAATAAATTAAAAACAAAACAGATTTCCCACAACCACCACAGCCTCTACCGCCACAACCACTACCTTACCACCACTACTACTACCTTCATAAACATCACACCACCACTATCACCATTGCGAGAACCATCACTCTAGTTGGCCATTGACACCACCACCACCACCACTACTACTAGTACCATCATCGCAACCACAACACCTTCTTATCCACTACCACTATGGCCACAACAACTTACTATCACCATCCTACTATCATTGCTATCACCACCACCGTTGTTGGCGCCGCCACTACCACCACTACTACTGCAACTCACACCATCACTTCCACAACTATCAACATTATCATGATCTATATAAAATTTTAATTTATTTGTTACTATCTTGTTAAAAAAAATTAATAAAAATTTATTCCATTTTATAAGTTTAATAGATATAACCAAACATGAAAATGAGAATTATCATCTTATTCCTTTGTCATTCCATGTTCGCAACCAAACAATGAAGTGAGAATGAACATTCCATTCTATTCAACTTGGTATTCCATTCTCCCTTTATTTCATTCTATGGTAAAATAATCTAAAATTCATAAAAATACAAGTAGTTAATGCATTAATTTAAGCAAAAAATTGTTGTATTTTTATGGATTTGAAATTATTTTTCACACTGATCATTTTTTTGATATTTCTCCTTTTATGAAATCCAAAAATAAATAAATAAATAAACCGAAAACGAAAACAATAACAAATAAACTCATAATACACATTCCACATTATTATTTAAATACTGGCTTTAGGAAGGTGAGTTAAATTCAATACAAACAGGTTAAACACAAAAGTTACAAAGAATTTAAATATATGTAGACTAGCAACCGGAAATGTTGAACTATTTTAATATCTTTTATTTTTTATTTTTTATATGATCTTTTGTCTTATTCATGAATCTTATTTTGTCTTATTTATGAATCTCCACATGAATTTGATTTTGTTTGGTGAACGGAAATTCATTTGTTTTTGGTGACTGTACGAACAAGAAATAATGTTATCGTATAATCCTGTTGATCAAGTCTGTGCTCCTCCAAACATCGTCGCTTACTCCCTGAAAATACAAACGTGAGCTAGCCGGCGGGTGTGTGCCGGATACTTCTCTGATGCCTAAGTTAACCAAATAGACAAATAGACAAAAGCTCTGTGTATTCGAGAATCAAAGTTGTGTTACCTCTCCATAGGTGATGTTATGAGCTTTTATAGGTTCCGCGTGGCACAATCCTAGTAGGACTCTTATTCCTCCATGTAGAGTTCTCTTAGGAATCACACTCCTGAAAGATAATGCTTATCCTTCAACACCCCCCCTCACTGCTTAAACAAAGTGAGATGGTTTTACCTCGGTAGTATGACAAAATGATCGAGCTAACATGGCCATGCTAAACTGGCAAAAACGACCGAGCTCTAACTAGCTCGGTTCTTCCCTTCATAGCTTGTACCTCGGTTTCACCTGTTGAGACTGAGCTAACCATAACAAGCTTGGGCCGAACTAATCTTGAGCAAGGTCTTGAGGAAAGCTCTATACATCTCGGCTCAGAATGGTATGACCGAGCTAAATGTTACTACTCTGATCGTGATGACCGAGCTAACTTCAAGGCTCTCTTTAGATCGAGCTAACTACAAGGCTCTTTTACTCAGCCCTTTCTTACTACGGCCCACAGAACGGCCCATTATCTAGCTCAGCCCAAATTACGTATAAATTACCCTCTCAATTGCCCCTTAATTCCATCTGGGCAGCATGATTGGGATTACCCTTTACTAGCCGAGCTAAAAACTCTTGCCTTTCAACCGAGCTAAAATGCTACCGGGCTACCGATTGGTACGGTTACAAAACGTCACTTCAGTCGCACTGTAACTGAATCGCTTTCTATTCCTTGGACACGTGGCTAGCTCTCATTAGCCCAGCGTAGCTGTCACCGCCGACTTCGTACCTCGCGATTTTTGAACAGTCCTGCCTTTTTCCTTTACTTTATACAAAAACCCTATATTTTGAACCTTCTATTTCAACTATCCATCTTCTTCTCTCTCTGCTTTCTGAGCCTCCATTTTTCTTCAATATCGCATCTGCAAAGGTTGTGCTCTCTGCTAGTACTGTGTTTACCTTTGATTTCTTCATTCTGAACTGGTACGTAACTCAAACCTGTTTCTTTTCCACTGATTTCATATTGTTTTTGTAACACATAGTGTAGTATGTATGTTTCTCAAAATACTTTGTAGTTTCCACAGGATATGGCCACTTTTGCCCAAGAACATGTAATATAACCACTGTATTTACGAATAATCTGAAGAACAATGCGTTTGATCCAAAATCACACTTCAACCGAACTAGGAAGTTGTTTGTAATAGGCGCGAACTTTAGCAAAACTGAACAACTGAACTAGGACTTAATGCCATACCTGTGGTCTCAAATAGGTCTAAGCACCTTCTGTTTCACTTAGCTGAGCTGTCGAACTGTATGAGGTTTGCGCAATACCGTGCTAGAAAGCCTTAAACACCGACCGAGCTATAACTTGGGGCCAAACCAGCTCCTTGACTTAGTCAAAACCAAACTAAGAATGTCGCACCATAAGCCACAACCGGGCTATGAACTTCTCATTTACTTAGCCGGGCTAAAGTCCCTCGCTCAGGCCGAGCTAAAAATGAGATACCCCACGTAGCCAAGGTAGGACTCAATTTATTCTGTCTTTGTGTCTTTTAGCACCGTCCAACGATCTGTGCTTAACACCTTTCTTTTTCACTTTGCAAACTTAGGTTGGCCAGGCACTCCATTGAACGCACAATCGAGCTTCTCAGTGTCATCTCTCCACCGAGCCAATACTCTAGCTAATTTATACATAACTTAAGACCACATGGGTAAATATAGGTTTCTAGTAAACTCACTAGGGGCTATGGCCAAGTTCCGAAGGGACTACCATATCCCTTATGACGTCTATCTTAGTTTAGCCGAGCTAGACACCATACCCTGGGAAAAACAAGGCTTCGTTCCCTTCACCCTTCTTTCTATTGTAGAAACCGGACTCCGATTCCCTGTGCAGCCCATTCTTTGTGAATTCCTTAGACAAACAAATCTCTGCCTTACCCAGCTTTCCACAAACTCATATCGAATAATAAATGGCAACGCTGAGCTAAACCGCCGGCTTGGCCTCAACCTCGGTTTAGCCGAGATATTTCACCAATACTCTCTAGGCCAAAACGAAGACGGTTGGATTTATTATTTAAGAATAAGGCACCGTCGTAAAAAGATAATAAAGAACACCCCGAATAAGGATGTTAATAACGACGATTTTTTCTGGGCTTCTGAAAATTTTGAAGATCATGAGGCCCAGATCCCAGGC